AGCGTCCTTCCCTCTCTGCCTCCACTCTGTCCAGAGGGATCACCATCCCCATCCTGGCAGGCTTAGTGTCCCAGAGGCTCCCCTCTGCTTGGCTGCCTGCTGGTTGGGACAGAGCCCAGGGCAGAGGAGGGAAGGCCTTGTCTCCGGGAGCACGTTTTCCCTCTGCCTTGTGTGTAGGTGACAAAGGGGCGAGGACAGAGGAGACAGGGAGGTGGGAGAGCAGGGCGTGGGCGGGACAGCGGAGACATGCACCGCCCTGGGAGGGGTCTGCAGCCCCCGTGTCGGGGGAAGAGGGGCTCTTCTGGGAATGGTGGAGCAGGCGCTGTGAGGGGCAGGGGGCCCAGCAGCCAGCAGGTCTGACACTGCCTGCTCTGGACGAGTGTTGGCAGGTGGGACACCACAGGGCACGGCGGGCAGAAGGGACAGTGTGTCATCTGGAGCCAGGGAGGAGGGAAGGGGGTGACAGTGACAGGAGACGTCACAGGCTGGGAGTCATGGCATGTGAACGGAGAGCAGCAAAGATGGGGATGTGAGAGGCGGGAGTGAGGTGGGGGACACCCCTCATCTGCCTAGAGGAAGAGGGTGGGGAGCCCAAGATGGGGCTCTAACCCAGCTCTGGCACTTCGCAGGCATGTGATGTGGCCAAGCCAAGCAAGGCCTCTGCTGGCCCAGAGAGGTTTAAGTGGGGCAGAGAGCTATCCAAATGGAGCCAGGGACACCAAGGCACAGAGAGGCCAAATTCCTCCCTCAAGGTCACACAGCGCGGCCTTGAGGCTGGACGGGCTTGGGTGATGGCTCTATTGTCGAGAGCCCTGGGGGAGAACCCGTCCTGGGTGTACTTGACTGGCTGAGCGACCTCCCTGTTCGGGTGTGTTTTTATTCCTCGCCTGTTCCCCTTGCTCCTGCAATTTCTGTCTGTCCCCGTCCCTTTCTGTCTCCATGTCATCTGTCCCTCTCCCCACTCCTGTCTCGCTTCTCTTTCTGCTTCTTGTCTCTCTGCCCTGCTTTCTCTTGCCTATTCAGGTGCAACCACTTTGACCAGGGCTCACCTGAGCAACAAGGAGGGCCAGCAGGACATGGCCCCCTGGAGGCCTGCCCGCGCCTCTTTGGACACCTCCAAGTTCAAGTACCAGGACCCACTTTCCCTGCAGCCACCTCTGCCCCTGCCCCGGAGAGGCAGCTCGCGCGGGCAGGCCCACCTGGAAGAGATCCGGCCTCCACCCCCGACGGCTGCCAGCACGGATTCTTTGGGAATGGACCGACCTGGGTCCCTGAAGAAGGGGGGCTCTCGACCCTCCTCGAGCGAGAAGAGGGCCACCTCCCGAGAGGGGGCTCTGCTGTGCCAGGGGCAGGATGGAGGCCTTGGCTTGGGGGCCCAGGACCACAGAGGCACGCCCAGGAGCCAGAAGGACAGCGTCATCCCTGACAACATCCGCCACAAGTTTGGGAGCAACATGGTGGATCAGTTGGTCTCCGAGGAGCAGGTGTCACAGTGGGGGTGCAGGAGGCTAAGGGCAGCAGGAGGGTCATGAGTGGACTCTCACAGCGACTGAGGAGCCACCTGCCATGAGTAGAGTCCCTGCGGTACCTAGCAGTAGAAAGCAGCACTGACTGACACCTGCTGCGTGCAGGCGCCGTGCGCTGTGTAACTTCACACGTAGCCACCTGGTTCTCTTCCCAGCGTCCCTGTGAGGAAGGTGCTGTTGTTATTTCCATTTCATGGATGAGGAGCCTGAGACATAGATTGGTTAAGTAAGGTCACCTAATTCACCCAGTTGTGTAGGACAAGGGTCTAAGCTGAGCCGGCAGATTCTGGAGCCACGGCCCCATGGCTTTGTTGCTATAGTAGTCTTTTCTTTGAACTGGATGCTTTCAGTTTGAACAAGTCTGCTAGGGGAAATAGCGTTGAGTTAGATGGACGGCATCTATTGGACCCAGGTTTCAATCCTGCCCCTGAATGCCAAGTGGCTGGGCATGCTGCTTCCTCTTTCCGGGCTTCAGTCCCTACATCTGTAATGAGGCAGGTGGACGAGACCACCACGGCAAACCCACAGGATGCGTGCCACTGCTCCCCGAGCTTGCACTCATGGCAGGCATCATTAATCGTTGCCAGAGCTCGTTTCCACCCGATGGATCATTGTTAGCAGTCACTACTGATTGAGTGAAGCAAGAGGTAGAACTCACCTGCCATTTCCGGCCACGTGCTAACCATTCTTCCTGCTTGGCATTCTGAGACCCGATTTCAAAGCCTCCATCTCAACCCTCACAGCAACTACCCAGAGCTGACTTGGGTGATACCTCGACTGTGAGAACTGGGCAAGTCCCTGGCCTCCCGGGGCCCAGCTTCCTCATTTATAAAATGATGGGACAAGCGCTGCCCTGTGAAGACCCCTCTTGGTGCTGCACATAGCAGGTTTCAGTGCCTGGAGGAGGTTATATGGTCACAGCACCCCCAATACCCTGGCCCACTGTGCAAGGGGGATTACGGGTGGCTGGTTGGAACCACAGGTGAACCTTGGCCTGGGGGATAGTGAGGCCAGGCGCAGAGGGAGGAGGAGCTAGGGGAGGTTTGGGGCTTGACTCTGTCTTCCCATCCCTTGTCTCTTCTCCCTGCCTCCCACTCAGGCTCGAAGGGTCATTGGTGAAGTCGTTGAGGGCCAGAAGAAGTCAAGCTCATGGCCCAGCAGGACCGAGAGCTCTGTGGAAATCGCCTCCATCTTCCAAGACTACTACGATCTGGGCTACAACATGCGGTCAAACTTGTTTCAAGGTCAGGTTGAAGAGCGAGGGCGGGGCACCTTGGTCTCCAAGGCATTGGGCAGGGAAGGCCTTCTCGGTGTCCACCCACACGGGGTCCAGGACCCCAGGACACTGTACCTGGCATGTGCCCGGAGAGTCCTGGGAACGCCCAGTCCCCTAGTGAGTCTGCCTCACTGTGTGGATGAGCCTTCCCCGTGGGCAGTCAGCCCCTCACACCCCGGACACCCTGGTTTCTTCCTCTGCCAGTAGGAGGCCAGCACACCTCTGGCTGGGCACCTTGACTCCGGTGACATGGTCCAAAGCTCAGCTCAGCCACTCACTAGCAGGGTGTGACTCCAGGCAGGTCCTTACCCTCTCTGAGCCTCAGCTGCCTTCTCAGTACAATGGGGACAGCAAGGACAGTTTGGCCCTCACTGGGCCATTGGCAAACTCCGAAGGTGTGGCATGGCATGAGGGCCCAGTGACTGTTCAAGTCGTTCTTTTTCTTTCCCAGAACCCAGTGGTGGTGCCACCTGGAAAAACAGGAAGTGAGGCTTGGGGACTTTGACTTTCACAGAGGTTTCCTTCGGGTCAGCGTGGTCCAGTTTGGGTGGCTGGGGGTGCTATTAGCTCCGTGTCCCAGGCAGTTCGGAGACCAGTGGTTCAAGACCCGGACTAGGAGCGGTCTGAGGTCTGTCTGCGGCTCAAGCCTATATACTCTTCTGCCTCCCAACTCCAGTCTTCGCTTGGCACCAAGCCACCTCCCTGCATGTGACTGCTCCCGAGAGCTGCCTAGCTTGCTCAGATGGGGGTCCACGTCCGGCAGGCAGTGGCGTCTCTCTGTCCCACATTCCAGTCTGGCCTTATTGCCAAGCTCAGCTCCTTCTGGCTCTCCTCTGTCCTCCCCCCAGGCCCTCGCTGGTGCTCCCAGGGCCTGGCAAACTTTCTTCCCTGGCTCAGATCCTGGTCACCGGAGGAACGAGACACCCACTGCAAGACTCTCTGGGCTTTCTTTTAAATTTGGAGAAGGGGTGGTGCTAGGTGGGAAGTGAGAACACAGCTCGGCCTGTCCTCTCTTCTGGGCCCCAGGAATCCTGTCTGCACTTCTCAATTCAACAGTTCTTATGTACAGCCTCGTGCAATGATGTCGATACAAACGTAAAAGCATATTTAAACAATCCGCCTGCCATCGTCCAGCCGAGGAAGTAGGGCTGTGCCCAGGGTGTGGCAGAGCCAGCTGCTACCGGCTCGCACCGGCTCACAAGTGTCTGTTACCTTCCCGAAACGACTGGCCTATGAATGCTCTCTCTCACTTGGGCGTGGGAGTGGAGGTTGCACTCCGGAAATTGGCAAACACCACGAATCTGGGCTTCACCTGTAGCCCTAAACCGTTGGTGTGACCCATCCAAGTGCCTTCTCAGTCTCCACCCCTCAGTGGGAAGCCTTGGCACTTGCCGTTGGAGGGTGGTAAGGCTGTGTGGTTGCACAGGAGGGTGGGAAAGGCAATCCGAGGAGACAGGGTGGGTTGTGAGGCCTTGTTTGACTTAGGCTAAAGGATCACTCCAGCTTAGATTCCTGTGCTGAGGATAGACATGGCAGGGGGAGAAGGTGGGGGCGGGGGGCAAAGGTGGTATAGCTGGACCTACATGGGAAGGGTCCTAGGTTCTCATCCCAGGACCTCCCAGGGCACTCGGGGAATGGCCATAATTCAGGCTGGCCCAGACAGTGTGAGGACCCTCTATGGTGCCCCCTCTCTTTCTCTCTTAAAAAAAAAAAAATACGTTTAAAGAGACGGAATAGACAATAGGGACTGGTACAGAAATGGGAAAACCAGTGAGGGGATGACTTCAGAGGTCCAGGTGGAACACGTGACAGTGGCACGGGTCGGGAGTCGGGCTGGTGCACAGCAGGATTTTGGTGGGCGCCCCCGAGCACTGTGGTAGCTCAGGGAGTTAATGGGGAAGGTGTCTGATATTTGAGGACCCTGGGTATTTGCGTAAAGTAGAGCGAATGGATTTGGGGTGTGAGAGAGAGTGGAATTCAAGTTGATTTCAAGGTCTTTGACCTGAACAACAGAGAATGGAATGGCTATTTACTGAGGCTTAGGAGATTCTGGGAGGTGTGGGTTGAAGAAATCCTATCCCATGCTGAGTCATAGAGATAATCTTTTAAAATGGCCTTCTAAAACAGTTATCAATAGTTTTATTTTTCACATCGAAGTCTTTAATCCACCTGGAGTCGATCTCTGTTTTTGTTGTGAAGAGGGACTCGTTTTGAATGCCTTCTTTACAAGGATGGCAGCTCGTCTCAGCCCCGTCTTTCCCTGGAGTCCTGGAGGGGTGTGTTTGTTTGTATCTGCCTGGGTGGATTTCCAGGGGCCCTCTTCTGCCCGCTGGTCCCGTGTTACACGTCTAGTTACCCAGGATTGCGAGCAGTCTGCTGCCTGATCGGGCGGTGGTGCTGCCAGGCCTTCGCCGCCCTCCCCGCCTGTTAGCGTCTGGGCTTCCTAGGTCCTCTGAGCGTCCATATCGATTTTAGAATCAGCTTTCGGTTTCCGTAAAATATCCTGTTGGGATTTTTAATTGGAAGGACATTGAATTTACAGCTCAATTTTGGCTCAGTTATCAGTTTTATAGATAATGAATTTTCCAATTCATGAATATGGTAGATAGCTCCGTTAATTTGAACATTTTGCCAATATCTATCAATAACATTTTGTCTTTTTTTTTTTTTTTGAGAGAGATTTTTTGCTACAGGGCACGTGCACTCACACGAGAGACCAAGACAGTGAGAAATCACCCACGGGCTGGGTGGCCACACTGTAATCCTTCTCCATTCGCCTCTCGGGATTTGGGGCATGCATGCACACGTGCCCAGCGTGAGTTTCAAGCCACTGGGTCGAGGACTCAAACCGTCGTCAACCTTGTGGGAGTCCAGCGACGTAACCATGATGCCATCTGCTAGTCCCCATTTTGTCATCTTTTTCTGTAGAGATCATGCAGCTTTTTGTTAGATGTATTTGGGAGAACCTCCTTTGCAAACGGTAACTTTAAAAATTACATTTCTAGAAATCTTTTTTTTCATTATTCATGATAGAACGTGTGCATGCACATGTGAGAATGAGAGAAGGACGGGACTGAGAGAGAGGTGAGCAGAGCCCCCGGCACAGTCAGCCCACGTTGCAGTCCCTTTCCCCAGACCACTAGGTCGTGGGCACAATGCAGTACTGGGAGTTTCAGTTTAGCTGGACTAGGGATTTGAACCCTGGTCACAGTGTGGGATCCAGCTTGTCTAGAGTAGTACAATACCCCTGTACCATGAGCCTGCTCAATGATGACATTTTGTTTTTTAGTTTTTGTTATAGAGTACATGTGCTTGCCAGAGAGAGAGAGAAAAAATGAGAAATGGCTAAACCACACTCCCTTCCCCTCCATTCTCCTTCTGGGATTTTGGCCACGCATACACACAAGGCACGCTCAGGCCGCTAGATCCAGGACTTGAAACACACAGTAGGCCATGGGGGATCCAGCCGCCTTAACCTCTGCACCACCTGCGCGCCCAATAATTCCATTTCCTGACTTTGCTGCCGGTATATGCAGATACCATTTTTATTTTTCTATATTAATCTTATAGCTAGAAACCTTGCTCAGTTCACCTTTTAACCCTTTTTCTTTTTTTTAAAATTTTTTTCGAGAGGGTTTTGCTATAGGGTGTGTGCGCTCTAAAGACAGAGAGACAGATAGAGAAACAGAAAGTGAGAAATCACCCCCTGGGGGATGACCACACTGCAATCCCTTCTCTTCCATTCTTCTCTTCCATTCTCTTCTCGGGATCTTGGGCACACATGCACATGCGCCCAGTGTAAGTTTAAGCCACCAGGTCTGGGACTCGAATTATAGTCAAATACATGGGGGTCCAGAGATATAGCCATTATACCAACTGCTGGTCCTGCTCACCTTTTAATTCTAATAATTGTTTGTAGATTTTTCAGAGCTTTTAAAAAATTCGTGATCACACATGTGCATGAAAGAGAGCGCAGAGCATACCCTCCATGGGCTCAGTCAGGACGTGACCCCCTTCTGCCCAGCAGGATCTGGGCACGTGCCTGTGTGTGGGTGTGTTTCCATGCTAGCCAGGCTGGGGACTCGAACCACAAGCAGTCAGCCTATGGCTTCCACTCCACAGTCTAGTGGGCTCCTGATGGTGCCACAGAGGCTCGGCTATCTTTGGGATGTTTTTGAAGAGTAATAATGGCTACATTTATGCATGGCATGCAACGTGTCATCAGGCATTACTTTCAGGACTTTACGTACAGTTTAATTTTCACAAGAACCCTATGCGGTAAGTGCTATAATTCCCATTTTTATTTTTTGGAGAGGAAAACTTCAAGGCATGGAAAAATTAAGTAACTTGCTCAAGGCTACTCAGGTAGGGGAGGTCAGAGTTGAGACTTGAATATTGGTAGCCCTAGGCCAGAGGTCACAAAGCTTTTTTTTTTTTTTTTTTTTTTTAGTTTTATTATAGGGCATGTGCTTGCCAGAGAAAGAAAGAGACAAAGAAGGGGGAAAGAGATAAATCCCTCCCCAGGGGGTGTGTCCACGCCAAATCCCTTCTTCTCCATTCTCCTCTTGGGATATTCTGAGCACACACACACACACATGCCTGGAATGTTTTTCAAGCTGCTGAGTCTGGGAATCGAGTAACGCCATTGGCCATGTGGGATCCATCTCCCTTAACCACCATGCCGCCCGCTGGTCCATAAATGTAATATTTTAAAAAAGAAAAAGACAGAGAAAAGAGAGACAGGAAAAGTAAGAAATCACTCCCTGGGGGAATGGCCACACCACAATTCTTTCTTCTCCATTCTCCTCTTGGGATTTTCAGACATGCATACACATGCACCTGGGATGTTTTTCAAGCCACCAGGTCTGGGACTGGAACTGCACAGTTGGCCATGTGGGATCCAGCTGCCTTCCCTCCATGGCACCTACTGCCCCAGAGATGGTTCATTTTTGTAAATGATCTGTGTCTGAAAATAATCTCTTGGGGGCTGGTCCTGTAGCTGGTCCTGGCTAACGGCTGTGTTTAAGGAGCCAGATTCTACATGGCCTCCGGTTGGCCCCAGTGGCTTGAAAAATGCACTGGGTGCCTATGTGTGCCCCCAAATCCTGATGGGGTAGAGAAATGGAGGAAAGGGATTGTGATGTAACCACACCGCACTGGGAGGTGCTTTCTGTCTCTCTAGTGAGCACACACACCGACTGGCAATAAATTTAAAAAAATCTCTTGGGTACAGAGTCTGTGTTTATTTGATAGAACAGGATTGCTAATTATTTCTATATAAAATTTCCAATTTCTTATTAATATTCTTTGCTTAATCTATTAATTACTAAGAGGTACCTTTAAATCTTCCCCTATGACAACAGATTTGTCAATTTCTTCTTGTAGTTCTGTCAATTTTGCTCTATTTTGAGATTATTTTAGTGAATCAAGTTTGGAATTATTACATCATCTTAATGAATTGCAGTGATTTTTATTTCCCATCATGTCTTTGCCTTACACTCTTATTTTGTCTGATAACGATGTAGTTAGATCAGAAAGCTTTGGGTTATTGTTTGCTTAGTATATCTTTTTCTATCCTTTTATGCTTATTCTCTATTTCCTTTTGTTTTAAGTATGCTTTAAATGATATAGATCTGGAAACTGTTTTCTCTGATCTGATGGTGTATTATTTAATCTGTGAGATTAGTCAGTCTATTTATATTTATTGTAATTATTGATATACTTAGGTTTATTTCCCTGACCTTATTTTGTGCTTTTTATTTGCACCAATTTTTCTTTTCTTTTCTTTTTCTTTTCTTTTAACTAGCTTTAGGGCCTGTGCATTCGCTGTACAGAGGTGAAGAGAGAGAAACAGGATAAGTGAGAAAGCATCCCCGGGGGACGGCCATGCTGCAAGCCCTTCCCTTCTAGTCTCCTCCAGGGATTTTGAGCACACACACACATGCGCCTAGAATGTTCTACGAGCTACTCCATAGAGGAAACTGTTGTGCACATAAACAGTAGAGTGTCCAACCTCTGTTGCCATGGGGCATCTGGGGATTTCTTCATGGTCTTCCACAGGGGCCCCCCAGGAGACAAAGAGCCTCATGAAGGCTTCCTACACACCAGAGGTGATTGAGAAATCAGTGAGGGACACAGAGCACTGGCATGGGAGGAAGACGGATGATCTGGGTAGGTGGGGAGCTGTGGGGATGGGAGGTGGGCACTCTCCTTCCTGGGCAGTACATGGGCCCTGGGGTAGACCTGCAGGAGGGATGGGTGACCCGGGGTCTGGTGTGCCTGAGGCTGCTGAGTGGTCTGTGCTGGCTCCTCCCCCACTCTCTGTAGGACGGTGGCACCAGAAAAATGCTATGAATATGAACTTACAGAAAGCACTGGAAGAAAAGTATGGAGAAAAGAGCAAAAGCAAGAGCTTGAAGTACTAGATACTAGACACAGAAGAGGTGCCCTCTGCTCCCAGGAAGTGCTAACAATAAAAAAAAAAAAAGCACAAATCTGAGCCCTTCTCTGCTTGGTGCTTCTCTTTGCAAGGGGCTGAGGACCAACGCGTGGTGTAGAAGAGACCAGCTTAGGGAAGATGGAAGCCCGGTGGGCCCCTAGACCTCTCCACTGCATGTACATGCACACTCACACACACACACACACACACACGCCTTCCCAACTTTCCCCTTTTTCCAGGAAGGGGCATGATGGCAGAGCCAGTGTGCTTGGCTTCTCTCTCCTGCCCTGTGTAATGGGTCCCAAGTGGACATTCTGGATCTAGGCCTGCAAGCTCTCCTTAGCAGACCCAATGATTTCCAGACACCCATTCCTCTTCCATGAGGCTAGGGATTTTGGAGGACTTGACCAACATGGTCTTTCCTGTCTAGCAGTGGATTTGATTGGTCTCGTGATTATTCTTATGTGCCCCACTCCCATCCTCATGTGACTCAACTGGGGTCAATCAGTTTCAAGGAAAGGTGTGAACATGTGCAGCCTTGGGGAAATACCTTTCTCTGCTGAGAATACTGGGGGGGGGGGTTCCTCTCCCCTGACATACTGACTGATGTAGGTGCAGCCCAGACTGCTGCTGCTGCCAGATGCCTGTGACCAGAGGAACTGCAGACAATTCCCAGTTCGGGACCTCCAGGACTCACTGAGCCACTCCAGCTTCTGGAAACCACCTCCCTCTGGACTTCCCACAATGTGACCTGGGCATCTCAGCATTGTCTAAGCAGCCCCAGATGGCTGTAGCCAGTAAGGATCCCTGATAACGGCAGGAGCAGGACATGGGAACTGGAGCCCCCAGACATGGGTTCCAGGTCAGACAGCTGTGTCCACCAGCTGACCCTGACAAATTTTACTGGGTGAGGCTCCAGGCCAGCAGCACACCCTGCCTGTAGGTCACTGACCACTCCTGGAACGTGCTCTATTTGGGTCATTTACTACGTGCTGTGTTTGCCCTAAACCACACCAACGCACAGTGGCTAAAATGCACGATCACAGGCCCAGCTGTGGTGGACAGCAGGAACACTCTGCAATGCTGGAAGCCCTAAGGACGATCAGGGTTCAGTTCCCATGGTCTGGCTGGCTCGGAGGCTGAGGAGAGGACCATGGAATAAGACCTTACTGAGGATGATTGTCTCTTTCTTTTAACTAAAAAAAAAAAAAAAAAAAAAAAGACAATAAAAATCAAATTGTTAAAGTCACAAAAAAAAAAAAAAAAGGGGAAAAACCTCACATGATCATCGATTGGTTCACAGTCGCACAGTTTGGGCATGGCTCATTTCTGTTCCAGGTGGCATTAACTTGAATGTTTCTCCTCTCCCGGGCCTGGTACCCCACTGAGATGAGCACCGCCCTGGGGTTGGCTTGTCGCTTGCTCTCTGTGGGGCCTCTCCTTGAGGCTTGCTTACGTTCCCTCATGGTGCAGGGACTGGGCTCCAAGAATGAGCCTTCCAAGGGGACATGAATCAGTGGGTGAAGGTTCATCAGGTCTCACGCTGGCTTGTTAATGTCCACGTGGCCACAGAGACGTGGCCCAGCAAAGACTGTGGAAGGAGGCTACGTAAGAGTATTACCCAGTCAGGAGAGGGTCGTTGAAGACCAGACCGCCAAAGTAACAGTCTTCCCAGTGATCATCTTGCTTCGGAAGAAGAAGGAATCAAAATCAACATGTCCCCTCTTCTCCACCAAATGATCCTTCTCCCACCAAAGGGAATTACTATTTATTTATTTTAGAGAGAGAGATCTTTACTATTGGGTGCATGTGCTCACTGGAGACAGAGACAGAAAGTGACAAATAACCCCCAAGGACAGCCCCCCCTGTGGCCATGCCACAATCCCTTCTCTAGTCTCCTCTCAGGATTTGGGGCATGCACACACACACACGCCTGGTGTGAGTTTCAGCCACCGAGTCTGGGACTTGAACTGCGGTCAGCCAAGCGGAAGTTCAGCGATGTAACCATTATGCCATCCGCTGGTCCTGGGGATGATTTCTTCGAGCTCTCAGAGTTGGATCAGGATGCAGTAAGGGAGGTGGTCTGACTTCAGCAGTGAGTGCTAAGCTGAGTGCAAGGGGCTGAGTTCTGCTCAGCTGCTGTAACGGGGGCCCAGTTTCTGCAAGGCACTGTGCTTTGTGCTGGAAAATCTAGACTTCATCTTTACTGAGTAGCTACTATGTGCCCTTCACACATGACACCTGAGAAAACAAGCCACGCAAAGCGTCATGGCTGTCATAGACTTTGCACTGCTCTGCCACAGACATGACCATACACCGAATGTGCCGGGTGACACTGCGGTACCGATGCAGCTGCTTTATACACGCAAGCTTATTTCATCCTCGCGCCAGTCCTCAAGCTCTTACCGGCCCATTTATGAAGACGAGGAAACAGCGGCTCGGAGCGCCCAAGCGAATGACACGAGATTATGAGTCGGAAGCTGAGATCAGAGCCCTGGGAAGTCCCAAGGCCACTTTCTGCCCTACCAGGCCATCATCCTGTGTGGTCTTGCTGTCCTAGGCACGGTGAGGACAGCGATATGGATGCAGTGCCGTTCTGCCCTCAGGGCAACTGGTGTGGAGGAAGCTGGCCTCGAGGCTCCAGCCACCTGGCCAGCACGTGCTGAGCACCTGCCCTGCCCAGCCTGGCCAAGGAGCTGGAAGGCAGAGACGAGGGAGACGTAGTGCCCACCCTCTGCAAGCTCTGCCTGGTGCGGGCGCGGACCTGTCCGTAAGTGGATGCTCAGAAGTTTGGTACGTGCCATGAGAAGTTCACACAGGGCCAGTGACAGCACGGAGGAGAATAGGGTGGCCTCCACCTGGGATGGGGCACTGGTCACAGAGGGGAGGGAGCTCTCGGGATGAACCTGGAAACATGAGCAGGTACATTCGGGGCCTGGAAGGCGTTCCAGAGCAGAGCACGGTATGAGCACAGCCCAGTAAGGTGTACGGAGGAGCCACATGTGGCTCCTTCGTCTTGGGGGTAGAGGTCCCTCCATGGGAAGGGGCACGTGTGAGGTAGGAAAGGTGGGCAGGGTGTGCCTGGAGTGGGCCATGCCCAGCTAAGGTCACAAGTGCAAGCCCCAGCCCTCCCCTTCAGGAGCTTCCAGTCTGGCTGGAGCATAAAGCGCTATTAATGACAGAAGAGCCCACCCAGAGGAGTTGAAAAGATGTCCCAGGGGCCAGCAGACGGTGTAATGATTGTGCCACTGGACTCCCGCATGGCCGACTGTGGTTCAGGTTCTGGACCCCGTGGTTTCAAAATCACACTGGGCATGTGTGCATGCATGCCCAAGATCCCGGGAGGAGGATGGAGAAGGGACTGTGGTGTGGCCAGCCCCCTGGGGGGTGATTTCTCACTTTTCCTCTCACTGTCTCTCTCTCTCCATTGAGCACATGCACCCTGAGGAAAAACCTCTTAAAAAAGGTGTTTCATACCCCCAGTAATCAGAGACATAAAGTAACACGATAAATTCATCAGACTGGAAAAATCGACCATGCTAGTCCAGGTGAGAATGAGGGAAATGGAAGCTCATACGCTCCATGAATTGTGAGCAAAGAAAGTATTGAGCAAAACTGAAATGACGTATTACAACCCAGACCTCCCACTGTGCACGCAGGTGTCCCCTACGCATGCGCACCAGGAGCCCATGCGCGGGTATTCATCGCAGTGAGGTTCACGACGGCGAATCAGCCTACTGCCTCTCAGCAGGAGCAGGGCCGGGTGGGAAGGCCCAGGGCAGTGGAAAGGATGAACCATCCACACATAGCAGCATTAAGAGGCCACACGACACATGGCAGTGGGGCAGTGACGATCTGTCAGATAAATCCTGAACCTGGAAACTCACTGCTCTAGTAGACTTCAAGGGCACGCCCATGTCACTCTGCTGCGCACGGGTCAGTTCTAGGAGTAAGGAAGGTGGGCTGGAAGGCGGGTTAGAAGGGTGCTAAACGGCAGTTAAACTCCCGTTCCATGTAGGGTGGCACTTTTCAGAGCAGCTTGACAAGACAGAGCTGCCAAAATGCCTTCTGTCGAGAGAACCCAGGTGCCAGTAAGTGACCGGTTAACACGATGTCAGGGAGCTGAGCTAAACGAGCAATTCCAGGTTTGACATCAAGAATACACGGAACATGCTTTAGGACTTCGCCTCAGTTAGTGATTCCATCTTGGGACGGTAAGAGGAACCCTTTCTAATTAAACATTGACTAGACTGGAGGGAGGAAAGCTGTAATCCCAGCAAAGTAAATAAAACATGCATAGATTTTTTTTATTTTTTTAACTTGAAGCAGACCTTTATCCCACTGGTGCTGTTTCCAATGACTTGGCTTGATCTTCATGCTCCTGGTGTTTCTAGATGCTGGATCACATAGCAAGGTACACGGGCCAGGTCTTAACTAGCATGAATGCACATAATGGGAGAGTTATTCACCCTTCAATTCATGCAGGACCTCATTTACCCATCATAGTTTGGAATCATCTTTGTAATTTTCATCAAATCCAAGTACCACCTGAGAGGAAGCCAATAGGAGCAATCTGGGATGCCATGGCCCAGGACACGGTTGGCCAGTCCTCCACAGCTGCAATGCCAGTCCAGCTCGACCCCTAGTGTTGGTGTCTACAAATTGCAGGCCCAGGGCTCAGGACTCAAATCTGCAATGCACACTGAGGGCCATTGAGTTATATCTTTCTAACCATGCTTATTCTGCTCCACCCATGGCTCCATTTTATAGAGGAGAACACTGAGACCCAGCGGAATGAACTTAAGTTTAATCTGGAAGCGAACAGCCCATGTTGCCTGTTTTGCAAATCCAAGCCGTCATCGATGGCACAGGGTGGAAGGCTGATCCTTTTCTGTTCTCCCTCATGGTCTCTGCATGAAACAGGAACAAGCAGGAACTTGGGTAAACTTGGAAGAAAATCCAAATGTAGATTTGCAGCCAAGAGGCAACAAGAAGAGCTGGGCGTGGTGGCACACACTGCTGCTCCCAGCTATTTGGGATGGCTGAGGC